CAACATGAGTGACTGGCAATATTCCATGACATTGGCACAAATCTACAATGGAAGAAAAGCAATAAAAAATATTAGCTCCCTGAATGTCCTAATGTCACAGAAATCCAGATTTGAAGACCAAATTTATAAATCTGTTTGTAAAATTACATGTTATCTTTATCAAATATTTTCAAAAACATAAAAACCTTAAGGGACAGTTACACAATTCTTACCCCTCTTACCTGTTGCATAGCCAGTTCGATCTCATCTTTCTTGTTCACTCTATCGCCCTCCACATTATCATCTTGGAATTTAAACTGACGCAATCTGTCAGAGCCACCAAAGCGACTGAGTAGTCCTAAGCACTGGCGCTAAGGAAAAAAAGGATATTCAGTTCAGATCTAGCTGGATATGTTTAAAATTAGTGACCTCTCTTCAGGGATGTTAAAAAAAAACTCAGTGGGGAGGAGAATCATTCTCTAACGCATCTGATTCCCTTTTTTCAACTGAGCCAACTAATGTTAGCACTATTAAAACTCATCTTTCCCCCAATGTTCTTGACTGGCAGTTAACTCATGAAAATGCCAATTTTTCTTTAGCAGTTAATCCCCAATATAACCTAAGAATTTTCTGTATTCTGCCAAAAAAGTACTTAGTTATTCATTGGAAGATACCCATTAAATAAGTGCACGCAGTTAACCAACGAGAAGCAAATTGAGATGGTAAATGGAAGATGGTTAGCAACAAGCACACCCATGATAATTTTGTCACTAAGGTTCAAATCTAAAGGCTATTACTTCCAGGGCTGCGTCTGGAGACTCCATATAAAGGTTGGGAACATAGGTAGCATAGGCAGATAAAATGCAAATGACATCTGTCTGAAATACTGGTACTTTTCACTGACAATACAATTGTTCCTATGATTCTCAGAAGGAAAAGACAAGATTGTCTAAATTGGCAATACGTACAGGGTTTATTTAGCACATGGGCTTGGGATCAGAGATATAAGTTCCAACAGCAGGTACATGACTTTTTGCTAAGTGACCTGGGACAAATTACTTAATTTCCTCCATTTTTAATGCTTATATTTCTAGAGTGCTAATAGCAATTCCTACCTTCTAAGATTGTTGCCAGGATTACTTAAGACAGTGGATTTATTTAAAGTGCTTAGCATGGCATTCTGCACATAGTAAGCACACAATAATAACATTTTAAGAACCGGTAACATCATATGTGTGTACACACATGCATATATAATGTCTTGTTTAAACTGGTATTTGTTTAAATAATAAGTTTGTATATAGCAAAATGTATTACAGACTATAACTATTTGCCAAAATAGTTATATCTATTTTGTAAACTAATAACTATGTTTGTTACTCTTACAAATAAAACTGATATACTAAAACATTTCCAGAAGTCACCTTAAAAAGATCAACGAAAAATACATTTTCTTTGAAAGAAGATTGGTTGAGAAATTACTGAATCAAAAACAATGGATTATAAATTCTAATGTATAAATATAATTACTTTTAGTGAGTACAATGCACAGATATTCATTCAGATTAGATATGGAGGCTCCCAGACAGTGATAAAATAGCTAATTGATAAGCTATATAATATTTGAATATATTGAGAGATTAAATAATTGGAAAAGCATTTGGGAATACATAATAACTACATAAAAACCAAGCCAAAAAACCCCCCAATTATTGACTCTAGGGAAAACAAAATGTTGTAAACAAAAAAGTGCTTTATTCCTGTCATTTAATCATAAATGACATTTACATAATCGTAATAATGTAACACTAAAATTGACATAACCAAAATTGATATGATTATCTTGAGTTTGACAAGAGGGGGGCTAGTGGGAAAGGCACATATTGTATGATGGAGGAGAAAGAATACAGAGATCTAAAGTCTCATCTTCCTTAGTGGAAATTGGAAAATCAAGTAGTAACAATAAAAGTATGCAATGCAGAGATATGAAAGAATCATTAAGAGTTTAAAGGGTTTGCCCAAATCTAGGAAGCAGAATGAAGAGGATAGGTACGAGAACTATTGTATTTTTACAAGTCCTTCAGCTGCTACTCAAAATAAAAAAGAATCAGTTACCTGGAATCTTCCAATATGCCCCTGTAATTCCATTAGGGATCCTTCATTTACATCAACATCAAGTTCACTTAATATACCTAAATAAAATTGGAGTGCTCTTAAACGTAGTTTTATAATCAACAAAATAAAAACATTACAGTGGAAGATTGGTTCTAATATTTTATATTCCTTATGAGCATATACTCAGACTCTTAACAAGGAAGAGTTTTGAGAACCACAACCGTGCACAGGTTATAGGGACACTAGCACATGCTCGTTCATTTATAATCAAAATCTAGAATGAGTTTGTGAATTTGAAAGGCAATTTTTAGTTTTTGTTTTTGTTTTTTAAATTTTTAATTATTTTGCATAGAAGAACTGGGGTATAGGCCAGAGATAAGGGGGTTGAGAGGATTCACCAAAGACAGAGAGGGGATCTACTGAGCAGTCAGATCTACTGAAATACACTGCTGAGGAGAACAGCAGGCAAGACAGGAGAGGTCTGCTGTACCATGTGGGTTGCTCCCTGGTCGGGGATTGAATGTAGGTGGCAGCAGTTATAGCGCTTAGACTTAACCTGTAGGCCATCAAGGAGGCCCTATTTTTTAACTTTTAAAGAAAAACCTTTTTATTTATAACCATGAAAGTTAAAATTTTCTAAATTCAGCAATAAAGTACTTTCTCATAGGTGTTTAGAATATGAAACACTAAAAATGGAATGTGTTTCTTTTTTTCTATTAACTCTCATTTGATTTTCTTTTTTCCTTTGGCAAAAGTATAGCTTGCACACAGAAAAATAAAATATCCTTTCAACTTCTCAGTCTGGATATATTAGAAAATTTCTAAATCAAGCAAATCAACTTCTTGAAGTACCAATGCCTTATTTTCCATTAATTTTTTAACTAAGTTCACTAAATTAAATATTTATCTTATAAAACTGCATGTAAATGGTTATGCCATTCTCACAACTTACCTCTGTATGTCCGTTTCTCTCTCTCATACACAAAGCAACCTACCAATGTTATTTGGCCATTTCTAGGAATGGGATTTTAAGTGTCAATTATTTTGTGAGCTTTTTGAACTTGTTAGACTGAACATATTTCATTTGTATATAAACTTATTCCTTTTACAAGGTCAGCTAACATTATTAGCATTACCAATTTTAATTAAGTCAAATACAGCTGCAAAGGAATAAAAACCTTGTTCTATTAAGTACATGTCAGTCTGTAAAGAATCAGTTAAAGTCCATCCAATGTAAAAAACTCACCAGGAAGCGCTGCTTTACTTATAATTCCTGTCAGCAGAGCCAGTTCCTGCAAAGATCCAGCACTGACATCCTGGCAGCGCAGGATTGCTTGAATGGTATCAGAATGTGAGATAAGAAACTGCAACACCTAAGCCAAGGAGGAGAGAGAAATGGAAGAAACACATACAAGAGTAATATTATATTACCCATTTATAAATCACCATTTTTTTAAAACACTGAAGCAAGTAATTCAATGTAATGAATATTAGATTAGCCATTACCTAATTTTGCATTTACTTATTTCGCATCTATAAAGTATGAACAACGGTTCTAACTTAGGAGACTTATGAGGATTAAACCAATTAACATGCTAAGCATTTAGAACAGTATCTCAACAACAATAAACATAAAATTTAAAAGAAAAACTTATTTCTGCACTTAAACTGTTTATTTCTACAAAAAGCAAACATACTGAATTCATGGAAAGCTAAAAGATGATGTCAATGTTTAGAAAGTAATATATTTAGGGGAAGTGTACTATAGAAAAGTGCACTATAATTTGGAATTAGTACATGAAAACTACTATGTAACCCTGATTTTTTTTCTTTGTGCATATGCAACTAGAACATGAATTTACTATGAGTGGGCATAAAAAATGATTCACTGAATTCGAGTTGCTCTATGAAAGTCTGATTAGAGTAACCTAGGAACAATCACATAAAAGCTTTAGTCTCATTATCCTTTTGATATGTAAATAGGAAAGATATAAATCCGGACCTCCAAACTTTGTACTTCTACCTTAGCATTCTACAATGCACTGTCATGCAGGATTCTCAAACTATTTTCATGAACAAACATCTCAACTAGATTATAAATGCTTTGAAGGCAGAGACGAAACCCAAACAAGCCAAATATCTGAATGACTCTAAGGAGCTGTGCTCTTTTATTTTTTATACCAGATTCCTAGCCTCAGCACACCATTGCTGGACATGACACTCAATAATCTGTGTATTTTTACAGCTCCTCAGTGGATGCTGCTAGAATCAGTACAAGAGCAGTAGTACAGAACCAACATCTCCTGCCAACGGTCCCACTTCTACTAAAAACTCTTAATCTCAATAAAGTAGGAGACAAAAAAAGTCTGTGAGTCTTAAAATACTGACTCAAAGTTTATGTCTGAAAGGAGTAGGATATTACCTAGACTGATGCTGTATAAAATAACAAGCAGCCCTCTATCTTAGTGAGAAAACCCTGAAGACTGATGGCAGGGAAAGCAGATCAAATTACCATTAGGGCAGTTTCTGAGGGAATCACAATAGAGCAATAAATACAATAAAAGTTTGCAGATTAATAATAATAAACCTAATTAGTGAAATTATATTATTAAAGAAACAAAATATATATTTTTGAAGCTTTTATGGAAAAGCCATGAAAATAAAACAAGTTTAAAGATAAAAATGTGATTAAGCTAGAAAATTCACTTATTTCAATTACTTCATTCTGTAAGTATCACAACTAAGGGCGGCACTACCATCTACCTTCTCTGTTTTCTGCAAGGCCTAATAAATGTACAGTCTTCTCTCAATAAATGCCTTGGTTCAATTACATTTTAGAAGTCATTCAACCTCTTGCTTTCCATCTCACTGTTCTACTTATTAACTGTGGTGTTTCATTCAAACAGGAGAACAAAAATGGGCTAATGAATTTCAGTACAGTATACAAGGACCCACTTTCTAGACCTAGCCCTGCCACAAACAGTACGATTAAGGTAAATTCACTTAAGCTTCCTATACAGGGGTTCTGCATTTGTAAAATAAGGGGTTTTCACCAAACATTTCTTTTTTGCACTAGGATTCCTCTTACCTGCCCCGCTGCCTGCAAGTGCTGGGCCATACTGGATGTGAGGATGACTTGGCACAAGCGGAGAGCTGGAAGGAGAATCTGCCGGTACCGATCCACCGGAGTAGGGATGAACATGGGGGGGTCTCTCATGCCAAACACGCTTCATTTATTTCACCAAAGGAGAAGAGAGCAACAGTCCAAAAGTTAGGTGCATTCTAATAATCCCCAACCATGACCATGCAAACATGTCACAGGTGGCTAAGATGCAAAGCTAATAATGAGTAGCCACATATACATTTAGTAAAAATGGAATTATTTGAATTCTGCTAAATCATAGTAAAATAAGTGTGAGTAATTTGCTAAGACATTTGAAAATTTCCAACCATATTTATTTTACTCTAAATGTTCCCTGGGAAATGCAAATCAAAACTACCATGAGATACCATCTTACACCAGTGAGAACGGCACATATTAAAAAAACTAGCAACAACAAATGTTGGCGAGGGTGTGGAGAAAAAGGAACTCTCCTGCACTGTTGGTGGGAGTGTAAACTGGTCCAACCACTATGAAGAGCTGTGTGGAGATTTCTTTACCTACTAAACATAGAGCTTCCATATGATCCAGCAATTCCACTCCTAGGTATTTACCCAAAGGACACAGAAACATCAATTCCAAAGAGCACCTGCACCCCTATGTTTATAGCAGCACTGTTTACAACAGTGGAAACAACCCAAATGCCCAAAAATAACAAGCAGCCATCTATCTTAGTGAGAAAACCCTGAAGACTGATGGCAGGGAAAGCAGATCAAATTACCATGGCAGTTAAGTACATTAGGGCAGTTAGGTACATCTTCTGGATCAAGAAGATGGGGTACATATACACCATGGAATATTACTCAGCATTCAAAAAAGATAAACCCATGCAATTTGCAGCAACATGGATGGTGCTGGAAGGGATCATGCTCAGCGAAATAAGCCAGAAAGAAAAAGAAAAATTCCGGTTGGTCTCACTCATAGCAGGAATCTAGAAAACTTAAATAAGGGACCAGGAAAAAGAATAACTATAAGAAAGTAAAAATAAAAATCAACAAACAACTATGAAACAGAGACACTCTATGGGGGGTGGGGGGTGGGGGGTGGGCGGAGGGGAGGGATTGGGGTCAAAATAAGGGGGTCGCAATTGTATGGGGAATATAAAAATGAAAAAAAAAATTATATTAAAAAAACAAAGAAAGAAAGAAATGTTCCCTGGGCCACTGAGACTGTGATTAAGAAATAGATAAAAAAAACAAAAGTTACTTTTTTCCCTAAATTTCTCTCTCCTAAACCCAAAGGCAAAAAAAAAAATCTACATTGCCCATTATATATAAAAAATAAGAAGATTTTTAAAAAGCTCAAGGATTACTTAGCCTTTAAGACAATTATCTCAGAACATTGTATTAATTAACAACTACTATTTATTATAAATGTTTATGGTTGCCTGTTGAAGGGAATGAATACAAAATATGGAAATAAAGGGGAATAGGTGAGAAGAGTGTTGCTCAGACAAGTGATAATAACATGCCATGAACTGAGGAGTGTAATTAACACAACTCTCTTCACCTAAGGGGGAAAAAACAACTCTCTTGTTCAAAACTTTAGAAACCAATTAAAAATTCTTTTTCCTGGAGGTCAAATAGTTTTGTAGATACATCTGAAAACTCAAAGATTCAGTTTGGTAATGGCTATTTCTTTATTTTTTTTTTTTAAAGATTTATTTATTTATACAAGCACTGGGTACAGTCAGAAGCGCGGGAGGGTTAGAGAATTCACCAGAGCCAGAGCGGGGAGCAGAGCAGGCAGAAGGACCGAAGTACACTGCTGAGGGGAGCAGCGGGCGGCAGGAGAGGTCTGCGCGCCATGTGGGACCCTCCTCTGTGGCCGGGGAGCAGCCGGGGATCGAACCGGCGCCTCAGAGGCTTTGGGCAGCTTCGCAACCCAGCGCTCAACTGCTGCGCCACCGGGGAGGCCCAGGCAATGGCTATTTCTAAGAAAATTACTCAAGACCTAAGTGTCACTATCATCGGCAGGACATACTATCTGCCCAGCAATGTTGCACCATGTGGACAAAAAGAAAAAAAGCCCAGTTTAAACTGAACCCCAAGACCTGCTAAGAAGATTAAAAATAATTTCACTCAAAGCTTTCATTTTTAGCAAGAAGTTGGTAAAATGTTAAAATGAAAAAATATTATATACACTAAAACCTTAACTTGAATCATCACGAATAGAAAAGCCACAGAAATTTATAATTTTATTACAATGTCTTAAAAGACAAGAGAAATTGAAAACACATTTCTGTTGAGCAAAACAACACTGGGAAGGACATTAACAAGCAAACTGCTCTCCCACTTCCTTTTAACATTCCTGCTCTAAAATGAAGAATTAGGTCCCTAATTAGGTCCCATGTCATTAGTAAATGACATGGGGATATAAGAAAAACAAAAACAAAAGCAAAAAAAAAATCACCCAGATGAAAATGTATTGCTCAAACATTTTTGTAAATCAGTGGGAAAATTATATTTGGGATCTCTTTTTTCCTTAACAACCCTTCACTTGAAACTTCACAATACCAATCTATACAGACACTTACCCCTGTGGGTCCATTTCGGGACGCATGTCATAGACCTGGCATTGTGCCAGTCTCACAATCACTCCAGACCTCAGCAGCTCCAAAGCGCCCTGCTGTATCTTAGCCACTCTTGTGAGAAATGCCTAAGTCACAAAAGGAAGATCATTATTGCAGAAATCATACCCAAGGGTCTTATATAAAAATGAGAGTCTTTCATGGCACATTTCTGCTGTTTAATCATCAATGGAGAAATATTCAGAGCTAACAAGGAATGGGCATATTTATACCCTATCTCATAGGATTTTTATGAGAATTAAATGGCACAGCATATCTGATGGGCTTCTCATAGTGCTTTGCCTGATTATTCAACTACACTGTAGTTTCAGTTATCATCGTATGAGCTTAGGGAGGGCAGGGAAGGTTTGTCTGTTTTGCTCACAACTCTATCTCCAAAACCTAATGCCATGCCTGGCAAATAATAGGTAGCTAATAAATGCTTGTTGAATAAACATATGAATGTGGGGGGAAAGTTAATAAATCTAAGACTTCAGTGCTTCTATTCAATATTACTATGACATTTTTAACCAAGAGGAAACACAAAAATTAAAGGAAATTTGAAGAAAATGGTGAATTTATACTATTCTGTAAATCCTGTGTTTCAAGCAGAACCGGCATGTCTACACAGAATGTTCAAGAAGCAACCACTGTAATTTTTAGTGTAATTTTGTTGTGGAAAAACGTTTTGTTCACAGCTCTTCTTAGAACACTGGGTGCCTTATCACTCAGCAGCACTGGCTCCTGGGTAAGCACACTCCTGTTATCCAACTAATCCTCTCAGGATCATTTCACCCCAACTTTGGCATGCTCAGAAGACACATCTCTAGCACAAATCCAGATTTAAAGCTCCTTAGAAATGATCAGTTTATGTGATACGAGTATTCAAAATGTAGGTCACTTTTCTTTAATAGATGTACAGTCCCGAGAGGCAAAGAGCTGTTGATTCAACTCCAAATGCATATGAAGTCTTACCATTTTCGATTCATAAGTATAAAGGGCTTTTAAAAGGGGAGGCTGTGGAGTGAGTAAGCTCTGCAGAGTACGGTCATCTTCCACCAAGCTGTCTACAAGCACCTTCAAATAGCCACTGTTAGAAAGATACAAAAGCCACTGCTGCTGCTTGTCTACGGAGACAATACGGTCAAGTAGGGCCAGTGCCAGCATCTGACAGAAAACAAAACAAAGTCCTGAGGATGGAGAAGAATATCAAAATCAACAGCAACTTCCTCTCCCTGGAAATGTTTAGAACTTTTCTTACAAAGAGAATAATTGCTTGCAATAAAACTTTCATATTTTGTTTTCTGAAAAATTCAAAGTACTGTATGCAGAATCTCACTCAGTCCATTAATAAAAGAATGTCTTACAGAGTAAAGTTATACTTCTGAAACAAAACCTAACAGATTAAAATAATAGCTTCAAATATATTTTAGCAGAACCTAAACATTAGTTTTTAAAAATAGCTTCCCTAAAAAAATAAAAAAGTTTTATGTTCTCATTAAAAAATCATTAAAAAGTATGTAGAAAATATGTAATCTGATAAAGTTAAACCATTTTGGTGTATCACTTCCCAGCATCTTTTTCTATGCATTAAAAAGATTTTAAGATTATTTTGCTGTTTATAATTTATATTTACCCCCATTTTTTTACCCTTCTTTTTTACTGAGGTGTAACTGGCATGTCTCATTTTTTAAAATCCTGTCTCCAATGGTCTTCAAAAACATGATTCAAACCTACATAATTCTTGATTAGCAAGAAACTATCTTCTCACTACATTATCACCAGTATGTCACATAATTTTAAAGACATATAAATGCAAATTCTCCTTCACAAAGCTGAGAGAGATTTATTTAGTATAAAAGCTGTCAATCCAGCATTCTCTTATCCGAAGATCTTTATTGAACAGCATCTATTTGTACAAGTATAAGGTCAACCTCAAAATGAGCAAAAAGATTATTCTAGGGAAACACTCTGAACTAATATTCTGAACAGAATTAAACAAAACATGAACAAACAAAAACAAATTCCAAATTATAGCAAATAAGCAAATTCACGAAAATAAACTGCAGAAAATAATTCTCAATATGTGACATACCTATAAAAGCTAATTCAGTTTATACCTTAATATGTCAAAGTGCTTATACAGTGATAATGCTATACAAGGTTACTTTACCCTCCCAATCTCATGACCATCACAAGCATCTCGACAGACCACTTCCATGAGGGCAGCGCCATAGCTCTCAATGATGGCTATGTTTTCTCTCTGTAATTTACTAAATACATCTTCTGGAGCTGTCAGCCTTTCCCACATGGTTTTCTTGGCTAGAGGGTTGCAACAGAAAGACTTGTCAATACTCTAATGAAAGGCAATTACACAACAAAAAATATCCTCTTATTACTCCATGGACATGAAAGCCCACCAACCAATGAGTAGGTTTCCATGCTTGTTGTGTTTCCCCACATCAGATGGGACCTTACTGAACTGCAGGACTAATATCTATCTCCATTTTCCTAATATTGGCACAGAGTAGAAGCGCAAATATTAATGACTGGTGGGCTAACAGCTCAAATAAGTTCAGAAACAGTGCTGTAAGGGTACCACCAGCTCCCGCAGAATGGGTGCCATGGGTGGGTTATCAGGAACCCAACCTAAGGAGCTAAGGCATCTCCTCTTTTGTTTTATACACAGGAT